TGCGCGTGTATAGGAGACGACCTCTGGCCTTTTTTGATCGCAACCCGTCGGTTTCGCAGATAAGTCAGAATGTCTCAATCAGATTAACCGGGTGGTTTGTCTTAGCTGTATGTGGAACAACCGCGGTTGCTCCAGTTCTGACGGGGTGATTTGCTTGTCTTTCGGCCTGGAGCTGCAAGCGACTCAGCCTAAAACACAGTGAAGCTATGTCCCCGTTCCGAGCACTCATCTCGCGATTGTCTCCGATGCATCAAACTGGATCTCTCTGTTGGTCCCTCACTTTCTTTAGACTTTTTTCGACTTGTCCTCCACACACTGTTTCAATTCGTTGGATCTATCTTTTTTCGTTTTTATGATGTGTCTTCTCCCTCAGAATTATCGATCCTGGACGTGAGTAGCACGTTAGAACTAGTTTTTCACTCCACATGGGAGCTATTTCATCTTACCTGTGTTTACCTTCACTTACCTTACGTAAACATAAACATAGAGCCTACATTGTTTCCCTATTTCCTTTTGTGCCGGGAAGTACCAGTCTGTTTACAAAACGGAATGATTTTATCCCACCTACTCACCCATACTCGCACGTTACGGGATCAGAGATATTTCTGGTTATGCAATCTTTTGACTTTTCGACCAAATAATGTTTGCGAATCAGGCATGTACAGCAAGCAAATATAACGTTTTTTGGTTTATACTGGACAATTTTAACAGTGCCTTGCTTTCCGGTGAGAAAGGTTCCTCACAGAGCGGTTGAACCAACAAGTGTTTGGATTATGGAAATCCTTCATTCTGTGCCATAGCGGACATCTTGCATGCCAACTAGTGAATGTTACATGCATCCGAAAACTGGGTGCGTGATCGAAAATACGGAGAGATTCCCGCTGTCAGTGTGGTCTCCTAGCTCAGTGCATGGACGGCATCAATACGTGTGGTCCAATTCTATCGGGGCTACTGCTGGTATTTTCACAATCCAAACACGGCCAAACAGCCAGTTTGATCAATCAATTACTGATAGTTAATTTACGGTCTGCTAAATTTGTCAGCTCGGTTCCTATGGATATGGATCCTTGACCTCATTAATTTTGGTCATGTTCTCTGTCCTTGATGGCATCATCCGAATTCCGCATGCAGCTAATTGTTGCGAGTATTGGAATTTTCCGACGGACATTTATTAATTATGTCTACCGTTTCTGTTTCGTCGGAATGGTCCAAGCGTTCACCTGTCTATTGGCACTAGATTCACTCCCGGTATCCAACTTCAATAGATTTCCTTGATTTGATCAGACTCAATTCCCGTTATTGGCTTGTTAAATTCCAAACACTCATTGACGGTTATTTTGCACAATGTGATAACGGCTGTTTGAAACAATGCGCAATATTATTTCAGTTGTATTTCGTCAAGGTGTGGAATCGAAATAAATAGAAAAAAACTCAAGCTCTGATTTCTCATCAAAGTTCCATCCACTGCAAATGTTGTTCAGAATGCTCCATTTAAGAGGCTTCACTTTGTTGGTTTTGGACTCACATGTTCCTCTGATTGCCTGTTTCTTCTCTCCCGTTGCGAATCTCTGTGTGTTTGTTGCTCATGAAAATGGATAAAAAAACTGACCTGGTTACTGATTCTGTGGTGCACATCACCTCCGTGCGATTGGAATGGGTTTGGACTTCCTCGTCTGATAAAAGATTGAACTCTGTTTTTTTTTGGTAAATTCCTCAATTCAGTTCCCCTGATTGTACCATCGAATGTGTTTCCATTTATTTTCCCCCAATTGAAACAAAAACGTCGAGATCTGAACGGTGTCTTTCTTTCTGACTTGTTTTTTTTTCCAGCTACTACTGTGATATTTGTTTGGATCGTACATTATACGCGAGAACAACAAGCAAGACAGCCAGTTCAGGGATTTTCTGGGCCGAGGATTTTGATCTGAAGTGAGTCCTAGACCCTACATTTAGTTTTCACCCGGATCCCTTAATTGTGATGCATGCCATATGATTGACTTAGTTTTGTACACCGATTACTCAGCTGGTTTCACGTCTCCTCCCTCGTATCTTGTCCTGTTGCTTTTCGGGATTGCCAAAGCTCGACTCACACATACCTACAGTCGGTTCTCACATGATCTTTCCTCTGAATTTTTTGAAACAGATTCGAATGATGAACGGGACATTTAGTTAACCTTTCTTCAGACATCGCGAACTGTCTGTGTTGAGTAGCAAACAGTTGCATCAATTTGTGTTTGGTTGTTGTTTATCTTGCTTGCTTGCTTCGTTCGCATGTGATCAGACAGATAGAGTGAGAATAGAGAGCCTTGAGGAGTTTCACGACTACTAATTGTGAAGTAGGTTGGTTCAAGTGAGACGGACGCGTTCTAGTTGTTTGCACTTATGTGCTTCCTGTTCCTTCCTCATCACTCAGACGCAACTAATGATTTTTTTACAATTTTGTTGTGTTCGAAGCCTACGTGTGAGGCGTCTCCACGCATCTATCTGTATCTGTATGGATACACGGATGATTCTGTGTTCCATATCTCAGGCCAATATTGTGTACTCTGTACCGCACCGTCTGTAAGGTGTTTATTGCCATATAAAGTTCACTGATCAAATGTGACGAGCTCTTAATTCGTGATGAAATCCTGTGTCTATTGGTCGACAAAACACTAGTGAACAGATCATTTTCGTCTTGGTTGGGACTAATCAATACTTCAAACAGTGAATCGGTAGGAAAAACCCGCGGTGTGCACAGACCCCGACATCTGTGAGTTTTCAACTGCTAAAATCAGAACATGTTTAGTTAACCGCCAGCTCATCCAATGATTTACATTGAAACGCGAAAGTTTTTTTTCCTCTCGTTGCTTGTGAATCGGAAGTGGATCAAAGTAGGATTGATATCTCTTGGCTTTATGTCTAGTTATCGATCTTTTACCTGTTTTCACTTTACGATTTTTTCATTTCATTTAGTATTAGTTGTTCGAAACAGATAGAAAATAATCAAGTTATGTACGTCCCACGCGAGCGGGGAGAACCCTCATGTCATGAATCCGTCTTAATCAGTCACTGTGATATTGCTTATCCAGCCGGAGATCATGTGTCAGTATCAGCAGATATGTAGTGCTGCTTTCCAGACAGCCCCTCCTACCCAACTAATGCGAAAATTAAGAAAACGTTTTCGGTTCTTTTGTAAAATAACAGAGAAAGCAATAGAAACTACACCAAATAAGAGTATGCAATGAAAGTGTTGAAGCTATTGATGATGGAGAGACTATGAGAAGACCATAGCCAACCCCCGGAACGCAACTTTGCAACTTTCCCGAATACAGCTTACATCAATACACCCTATTCCAAGTGGACTGGGGAGAGGATCCACTGTATTGACCAAAATGAAAAACTATAGAAAATTCATTTTCCCCTTTTAGCCGAGTTTGGTAACTTTTTGGCAAACGTTTTATCACCAGCCGAGGTGACATATTCAGTGCTCGTGGAATGGCGACGTTCTGCTTAGGCCACCCATTCGCTTATGTATGTTGCTGATACGAACCTTGCAGTAAAATTGGAAAACAAAATCAGCACCATATTGCAAACAATGGATGATAATCATTGAATAACCAAAGAAAAGCAGTGAATAATGGAAAGCGGGAAAATTCCGTTATTACTAAATTCTACGGATTGCCGAAGATAAAATCAATGAAGGAATTCCCCTGATGCCAATTGTCTCGCTTCCAGGAACAGCAGCATACAAGTTCACTTTGAGAATAATGGAAGTGACTTTAACCGCTTCTTCCTGGAAATGAGCATAGTGTGATCAACTCGCAAAATGGACTTCGAATCAGTGACAATCATCAACCAAGCCCAACAAATGCACATCAGGGAATCGCTCGAGGCTTTCCCTGGCTAACGGTTAATTTCAGTGATACAGTGTTTCGCGAAGCACTGTCTTCATTTGACAATAGTCGATATTGCTATATCAGTGAACGTGCTATTATTACCCACTCGGTTCACGCTTGATATTTCACTGGTGGAGACTTTTATTTCTTAATTGGGTTGGCGGTAAAGCGATTTAACTCTCTCACGGTTGTGCTTCCACTTTTTCCGCTGTCAGCCAATTTTGAAAGCTAGCTACGCTGTCATGCGGCTAAATAGCAATATGCATATCATTTTGGCGTCTAATTTAGAACTCCCCACTCCACGTCCCATAGCGTAGATTGCCGGTTTCCATACCCGCAAACCAGGTTCTGGAAACTCTGTTGATCGCCTCGTTCTCCGTTGATCTCATCAAAGTGTGGGCGTCAAAAAAACGAATGGATAGACTAAACACAATGGCTGAAAATTAAAAAAAAACAATGATAAATTGGCATGTAGTTAGTCTGTTTAGGAAATATTTACCTCCACAGATATTGTGAGATATCGAATTGGGTATCGGTGAAAGGATTTTAATAAAAGTGTTCGATTGCTATCCAATTGGTCTCCCGATAAAGGGAATTGTCCATACACAATGCATTCTGCTACACGTTTGTTTTGTCATTGTTCCATAGTTTTTATACATACCATGTTCATAAATCTGATTTGGCGTACTGTGTTGTTATTTTCGATCAGTGATATATTCAGCGCGTCGTTGATTGCCTCCTTCTGGTGCGAGTTCTGTATATATCGGCGTTGGATTGGCCATCTGGAGTATCGCGGTTATAGCAGGTGATTCACTAGGACGAAAACACCGCGGCTGAGTAGACTTTTCCGCTGCGGTTCAGTTGCACTTTGACCCAACGAAACTGTCGCAATTGACATAACTCACACGCCCGTCCACACACACACACACACACACCCTTTCGTGCGTGTGGCTGTGGCTGTGGCTAAGCCGATTGCTTTGTATTGAACTTTCCTCGCTCGTGAAAACGTTGTCTGGCTGAACGCTTCAGGTCTGAGATTTTCTAGAAACATGTGAACTCTCCAAACATCTCACTCCAGTCGATAGAAAACTGGCCGTTTCGACAGTGTTTTCTTCAAATTGGATCGATTAAGAAGATAAAAAATGGCCCCAGAAAGAAAGCAGTGGAAACGGAGGCGTTGAAATATAATGTAAAAACACTTACATCTTCAACCCCGTTCCAAAATTCTCTCGGCAGCCCTCGCATAGTTAGTCATCTGTACAACGAGTGTTGTCTTGTCTTTCCTTTCATTGATACAATTTTTTCCATGGGATAGCGATGGAGGAATCGGATTGATTTAAACGTAAGGAATTCGCACCTCGCTAACACAGCCATCATTGGCTGAGGATGTAGTCCGGTCTGATGAGGCCGTTTTCTATCCTCATGGAGAGAGAAACCAAAGAAATCCGGTTTACTGGGCACAAAAGATACGTACCAAAGTTACAAACCCGAAATTCTTGTTTGGTTTTGGATGCACAACATGTCGGTGCTAGGTCCATTTTTTCTTCATAGCACGGTTAATGGGACAACTCACCTACAGTTGCTTTCACGATGCTCACACAGTATATGCAGCCGTTGGATCCAGAACAGAGACAGTGTTTATTTCCATCAGAATGGTGCAGCTACCCATTGTTCGAGGACTGTGGGAACTTGACTTGACAAAACATTTCCACAAAAATGGACCTGTGCACTCCGAGATCTCCAGATTTGACCCTGTTCGATTTTTTTTGCTTATGAAGCCGAAGCGTTTAGCCAAATGTTTTTTTTCACTATCCGTCATGCAAAGACTGACAACTGTGACACGTTTTTCACGAGCACCGAAAGGTCAACACAAAGCTACTGGCCATCCCCACCACAAACACACATGTAAACGATTCATGAGGGTGTGTTAGTGGGGTGGTGAGTTCTGATCATTTGAGACAGATTCGTTGGGTAAAAGTTCAACTGAACCGCAGCTGAAGAAGTCTGTTCAGCAGTGTTTTCGTCTTAGTCAGGTGGTATTTGGGTTTTACTTCCGGATAGTCGACCAAGCTTTGTATACTTTCTATCCCCTTAAGAAATTATGTACGTTCACGTCTAGACGGCACCAGATACCTCTGTTATTTTGCCCAACCGGTTTCAGTTAGTCAGTCTGAACAGTAATGAGCTCATGACAAGATTCCATTTCCAGCACGCGTCTCCGACCCTGTCATTCACATGACTACCGTTCGAATAGCTTTGAATATGCACTTTTCCGAAACAATCTGGTAATCGATAAATTAATTACCAATGCCCATCACAAGGTAGTACGTGAATAGACCTGGAGATTTCGACATGTATGCGCTGTTGACAACCCCTCTGCGGTTCTAGCAGAGCTGTGATCAGAACATTGTTTCGAGAAATTAAAGTTGACACTTGTTTGCCTGCTGACAGACACGTGGCAGAAACAATTAGGATTAATTGATGCCTAATTGCTGTTTAGACATGATGAAATCCACTGTGCAAAATGAAAAATCACTTGAACTGACCGCGTTTGGGAATATTTGTTCTCATTCAGGCGTTTACCGAATCTCTCTCAATCAGAACAACAACAACAAAACATTGTGATCGTATGAATGCCGATCACTGGGGGTTCACTCTAGTCTACTTGGTCACGTTAGTGAGAATTTAATCCTTCGTGTTTTGTTTTCTCAATCATCAGCACAGCTCGGGGAGCCCTGCCACTTTTCATCTATGAATGGGAAATGATCGCACACCTAGGGAAGCTAATTATTACTACACTCTGTTGATTACTCATATGCATACACATTTGATATGGTAATTGGTATGTGTCGCACAGGGTTATCCGGGGAACCTGAAAATCATGCCAACCAGGTTGTCATCTTCAACACTGTCCCCGATCATGCGTATGTGTGTTACTGAATCTACACTGACTGGTCGCTACACGCTGATCCTGCACCCCTAGTTCGACGAGTATTGTTGAACGCACACATTACTTGAATACCGTTTTCGTCAGAACACTAGCAAAAACAAAGTGACATACCAGTGACATCGGAAAACCCAGGACGTTTGTGCTACTTCTTTGGACTGTCGCGCTGAAACAGATTAATTGTCGCTTTGAAATGCCCGAACGAGTCACTATGCTACTGTGGGTGCAGGCACGAGAACGGTGAGGGATTTGTCCGCGTGGTACATTTTTCTCTGACCGTCTTATTTAGTTGGTAACATTCATTTTGGCCAATACACTGGTTTCTTTCTAATTAGTTTAGAATAAGATGTATCTCCCTAAGTTTCACTCGCCAAATTGTGGGCTCATAGTAGTTCTTGTTTTTGGCTTCATGCGGGTCTATATACACAGAATTTTGTGTGTCTCACCCTAACAATGAAGCGATAGCTATCTGCTATGGCGTTTTTTGTTGGTCTTTTCGCGATAGCCCGCGCGATTCTTCACTTCGCTCCCGGACTCGCGCACAGGATTAGGCGTTTTGTTTTCTCCTACATCGTGTTGTACTCAAGCCGGTTTCGTTTTTGGCTGTCTTTTTTGAGTTTGATCGTGCACTGTCCGCCACTCTGGCTATTTTTCAACAATGTCACCGGGAGCAGCATCACCAAGTGGATTCAACTGACGTGAACGAGTACCATCACATTGTCATCCCGTTTTCTCAGCCCGGTTCACCGTCTCCAAGTTCATTTGTATCAAAATAGTGTTCCACATTTCCACAATGGATGTCCTAATCATCTGTCCGGTGTTTGTTCCTCATGCTCTACCCACTATTAGTATCTGTTGAGGTATTGTCGATTTTCGGAGTATGCCCTCCCCCCCGTTCACACACACCGGTGTTATGCCATGTATGTGACCTAAAACAATTGTCTTCCACCCCTGGTATTGAAAAACCAAAATACAGGAAGCATTGCACATCCATTACCGGATTGTTTGAATTGTAATATAATGCTAAATGTGATGATTCAGCGGTAACCCAAGTTTGGTTCTGTGATCGCAGTTTGCAACCGTTACGCTTGTCTTTCTCATACTTTGAACAACAGCAACAATACATGTGCACTGTGCTTTTGTGGTTTGATTGTCACTCGGAAATTAGATTTCTGGTCAGTGCCAAATCCAACTATCTCAACTCTCATTCCATTTTCGGTGTTCATTCCTTTTTATTCTCTCAAACAACTTTGCATCCAACTGCTTGTGTTTCATCTCGCGATCATTTCAAGAATCCTGACCCACTGGAAATAATCGACACGTTATTGACGGATTTTGCCAGTGGGTCGCCTCTTCTTCACTGTCCTCCTTTGGTGGATGAGAGCTGCACTCCTTCGAAGCGCAGTGAATTCTAGTATAAAGACCAAGTAACCCTGTACATATGCATGATAGTCACAAGATCTAGCCACCGCGTTCCTGTGAAAAGATAACTGGCAGCGAACATGTCAATTCAGCGTGTCCAATAAACATCATTTTTCAGTTAAGTCGGTTTGGTCGTTCTGGTTATCTTTTTAGAAACGCTTCACCGCATGAATGACTGGCATTCTGAGGACATTGTATTCAATTTCGTTGTGTGGGTCTTCATGTGCTATGCCGCGACAACAAAAACATACGATTTCGTTCACTTTACCACTAAATCGCATCTCGCGTTTACCATTTTGAATGTCCCCTGGGTTTTTTCGTTCCGATAAGCTCTACCGTCCTCTTAGTGTGATGAAGAGGTCACACATGTGTGCATCTGTGTGTGTGACACTGACCCCATTTCGCTCCCCCAAATATGTACAATAATGAGATATTGGTTTTTATTTGATATACGACAGATGTATTTGATTTTCAGAGACCGATTAGGATCTATCGTTTGATTTCGGTGCGAATTGATCACAGACATTTTGGTCATTATTGGTACTTACCCTCCCCCTCTGACAGTCGTCATACACGTACGGTCATTTAAAGTTAAGGAGTCCTTGCTTTGGTGGACACTTGTAAATCGATATTTTTCATATATATATATATATACATATATATATATATATATATATATATATATATGTATAACGTAGGATAGGAACGACTGGAAAGGGTTTTCCAGAATCATACCACTGGTTTCGCGTTCTTGTCCTCTCGTCTGATACACATTTTCAATGATTACGTCATTAGGTTTTTGTAGGTTATAAACCCTTAACCTCCGTGGTAGTTTTCATCAAAACAGCTATCCGGAGATCGCGTGTTTGAAAGCCGCCTGCTTAAATCTCCATTTTCTGTACTCCTCAAGCTAGCCATGAAGTAGTCACAAACCTAAAGTTGCTGAAATTCTTGTGCGTAATATTAACCAAGCCAAACGTTGTAAGAACAACTGTCTCATTCTCCAGAAAGCAATCGGTAAGATTTTCATCGACGAATACGGAATATATATTGCATAAAATATCTCATATTATCCATACTTTGCTCGTCTACATTCCTCCCACCACCCAGTAGAACGATAACTGTGCACAAACACGGTGTTTCTATTTTCCATTTGGAACGAATCTTCTTAACCGAAGTGATTATATAGATTACATTTCCTGATTCATCTTTGATTAGGGCCACCGCTCAGCTTCACGTTTTGTTTTTCGTTTGGAAGGAGAAGATTGTGTCTAACTGATTTCCCATGTTCGCTTATCTAGGATAATGTATGCATAAATCCTAACAAGCCTCTATGATAATGTTTATGTGTTCTTCACAGAATGCCAATGTCATATATTGTGTAATAAGGATATTTGGAATGACCTACTGCACACTGTTGTCATGCTAACAACGTCAACTGATGCTTGAGCCGATAGAACTCCTGCAGTCTGGGTTATGAAAAATGTCCGTTTGCAGTATTAGGTCGATGCCAGTGTCATGTATCGTTTTGATAAACTTAACCGTGAAGCAAATGCTAGATAATCCTTCAACCGCTCCCCCCGTCGGCGCCCGTGCGAGATCACCAGAGTTAAAACATGATCTGATCCTGCGGAACATTTATCTCCCCCAACAAATAAAGGGTTTTATCCGCATACAGACAAACAGAATTGTTCGCAAACAATTGTCCAAGAGTTGTTGCCTCAGTCAAATCAAAACTTGAAGTTTGGAGTTATCCTCTTGGAACAAATTAAAACTATTTGGTTGCTGTTAAAAATAAATGTCACTATGTTGTCTCCTGTCCCGTGTGCAGTAAAACAATTAGTGAATCTGTCAAATCACGCTAGTCGTCTTATTTCTGATCGGAATGTATTCGCGTTCATCTTAGTGACTTCCAACAAGTGTCCCAAGTAAACAACAAGTAAAACACATTGGCCGGATAAGTGGGGTACCCTGAATATGAACACGAGTAACTTTTTAATCTCATTCATGATCCCTGGTTTCCCGATTTCGCAGTCATACGGCTTATTCCGATGCTTCGCAGATCAAATATGGAACGCAGCGCAATACAACATTTATTAAGAAAGTAAACATTTTTCATCTTCTGAAAGTATCGTACTGTTCACATGGATGAAGAATCCGCACGAATTATCTTTCAAGTCCAGTTGCTTTCAGAACTCACAAAGAGCAATAGTGAAATGAACTAGGCCATACGAATAAATTGGAATATAAACTTTATTGTCACTGTGTCAAGGTTCTGGTAACCAGTGTTTTCACGCTACTGAATTACCTAAGAGCTAAAAATTCACTTTTTGTCTTATTATTTTACAATGCATACAGTCGTCCGTCTTCTATCGCGGGGGTTAAGTTTCAGAATCCCGTGCGATTGGGGCAAAATGAAATGTCGACCATATTTATTTATTGTATTATTCATGATTTATTTTAAAGTCCTCTATCCCCCCCCACTCCCCCCCCCACCTCATCATTACAAATTGACATGTTGCAATTTGGGGTGACATGAAATTCAGTCAAAGTAAATGAAAAGTCTTGCAATGGCATGGAATGACGAGTTGCAAATTGTCATTAAATTCAATCACTCTTAGTTCACAATCTGATGTGATGATTTCCCTATTCATTGGATTTTCCTCTATGCGATTTGCGATTACACTGTGACGGTTATGTCATCTGATCGCCATGCAGAAGCAACCGTGCCAATCTTCTCAGTCTCACATGTTTTCATTTCTCCCGTTCAAATTAGATCATTTGTATTTGATACCGTAGTCTAAAGTGCTCGTCAATCACCCCGGTCCGGAACCTGCCTGCTACCGGGATTCATAAGGCGCTCTGGTTCCCATCCTGGATTGGTCCTAGCTTATGGACATTTGTACATTGATTACTCGGGTTCAAGATCTGTTTTGTAACATGAACCCGTTTGATCTGTCGTTAGGCCCATTGCATACACTACAACTGTGTGCGTAAAGTGCATGCTGGTTGCGTTATCTCACACGTTCATTGTTCACTGTTCCCTTTCCTTTTCGTTCCAAAATGGTCCCTACTGGTTACCATAGCAATCTACCCAACGTGTCTGTAATGACTATCAGCCTGTACAAAGAAGCAGACACCGGTGGCAAGGAGTTGCGTCGGTTTGGCACGACGCGGATGAGTGCGAAAAAATTACGGAAATCGCAAAATCAGCTGATCGGTAAGTTACTGTCATGTAAATGTATGCGCGCATGACTACACATACACACATACATACACACACATACACGCGCGAATCACAAATGAAATTCCTGAGAGTTTTCATTTGCATTCTGGAATCACTTAGTAAGCGTCAGCTACTTTTGTCAGGTTTGGGTATGCACGCTTGCTGGACTGCACGTAGTCTATAGGATTCAAAGGTGAATTCGTCGTGCATATAGCAAATGAAGCGTGAACTGAAAAGCTAGCAAGCACTGTGCAGTGCGATTCTATCAAGCCAACTAGGGATCGAACCCGGGATCTCAGAACGCAAGCATGAGTCTATAGGATTTGTTATACATCCAGACTAACAACTGAGAACTCGGTGATCTGAAGTTTGGAATGATTTGAACTCTCGTGAATTATAGCGTATCTCGAGCTATCTTCTAACAAAACAGAGCAATCAAGACGGGTGAAGTTTATACACTAATCCCAAGGAATAACAATTTGGGACAGTGGACTCCTTTTTATCATCAAATTTGTTGGTAAATCATTCAATTGCCATCAAATGGGTTCAACTCTTTTAAACTAATATGAAATATGAAAACGCTCGTCTTCCTTTATTATTTTATCCTCGCTAGTGACCATGAAGATGTTTCTCTTTCATTCCATACACATGTAAATTGTTCTGTATTGTACATCAGTGAAGTAGTATGCTAGGTGCCTGCCGTCTTGTACTGCCTATTGATGATTTCTGGAAAGAATCAAATTGTGATCACTTATGGTCACCTTGAGTGGGTAGTTTCATTTACCGTCTCTGGCGCTCACCAAGCTTGGAGACCCGAGGTTTGAATCCTGACATTGCAACTGAGCTTTATTCACAGGCAAATTTACTGTCACCTGGTTCAGTAACACGCTGAATCAGGGCCTTTGGTGGTTCGTCATCTCCAACCCCACGGATTACCTTCCCATTTACCATACATAATTATTAGGCTCTCGTCGGTACAGGATACTATGGATACCATGACTGTTTCTTCAAATGAGTTTGTCCGTCTAGGCAAACTGATCTATGTGCTGCTTTTATCACTCTCCTCTAGCACTGATAATCTGACTGATGATTTAGATTCTAGAGGACATTAAATTATTAATGCTCCAAGTGACACGATATTTTTTTCATTTTCACAATATTTTGCCGAGGAGCAACTATATAAGATCATTCCTAAAACACGTCATTCGTTGAAATGTCAGCAATTCTCTCTCTTATTCTTCTTTCCTGTCATGAATTTTCGTCTCACAGAGACTGCTTTCGCATATCTGACCATAGTTGGGCATTTGAAACCGATATTCCGATTCGCTTCTTTCATGTCAGTTGGGTGTATCTTTCTAATCGGTTTTACCGCGTATCCGGTGGTTGTAGTCATCGCGTTTGTGTGTGTGTGCGCGCACATGTGTGTGTTTGTTGTGGTAAGAACCTTGTGTGATAACAGGGTACCGGACGCGGTGTTTCGAGATCATCGTCTGTGTACGGGAAGCGTAGACTGCCCCAGTGGCCCCACTGCATTCTTTTTTATGTTAATGGCAATGTGTTCCTTGCGCATANCTCATCTTCTATCCCCCCCCCCCACCCCTCGTCATCTTACATTTGGGACATCTACTTTTAATACTTTCTCGCTACCGAGTTGTCTTTCGCCTTTCTCACCCTATGCTGAGGTGGTGACCTTTTGTTTTTTGTTGTGATCTTGTCCCAAATCTGTGCAACATTGGAGCAACCCGCGGTCACTGAGATGTACACATTATCTATCTGCGGTCCGTCGACAACGCAGGGTGAATATCGTGCACATATGTAGTTGTTTCTAAACACCCTCCAGGGTAAAACAAGCTTAATGCACACTCCACTCAAACGAATCTGCATGACCTCATTCAATGCGTGATTATGAGAATGCGTGAGAATGATGTGTACAAGGTGTCCCGAATGGACACTGGTCAACAGCAAGCACATCATCAGGCTCTGCCACAACTGTTGATGTGTATATGCGCGCGCTACCAATCTACTTCAGATAAACGAGCATGCCAGATAGTCCAATGAACTGATCAGTCTCATCTCCCTCTTGGCCGCTCGTTCTTAACTTGTGATAAGTGTTTTAGCCATACGTGTGTGTGTGTGCACCAGAGAAGGAAGGGCTCAACATTTACAAGTCGCACTTCCGACTGATTTCCTCGCGGACCATACACTTTAGGTACTCAGCTTTGTTGTGTCATGATGAGAACAAGACAGGATCGAGGCTTTTGTTGTGAATACGGAATACACACTGACAGATAGGTTGTTGCGTGTGACTAGTGGAGCATTGGGTTTGATTAAACGACGCGTTTGTCGTTTAAATCAAGCATGAGCTAAAACGCTAGAAGTCACCCGTCAGGTGTTTCGACCTAGTTGGGTCTCATCCGTGCAGTGCGTGAATCCATCGTCCCAATTGGGATGGCAAACCTGGGACCTCACAGGTGGAACGCAAGCATACTACCCCTTCGAGCACCGGGTAGCATTTTGTCTATGCACGATATAACACAACCTATCTTTGCGGATATCGCGCCTCGCGCATTCACAACTCGACTGCCGGTTATATGCAGTGGAGGATATATCGCTGTTGCCGAGATGATTAGTTGTACCATGTGTCACGCCTTGGTCTTTATCGTTATCCAAAAGAGGATTTCACACCAATGGATATTCATCTGGCACAGACTGACCATTCGGGCTTGTGTGATCACGTTTCACAATGCGGTCTGGTGATCGATCTCTGGTACTTGGATGCCCGTTCTTAGGACAAAGCCAATCGATTTGCTTATCTAGGAACGACAATGTACGAGTGATCTACTTTCACGGTTATTCGTTTGAATGCATAAATCTCTAAGGATATAATGTGTCCAATATTTGGCGGTTATCACTTTCTTAAAGTCAGTCCAAGAAATCAAAATGCCTAGGTGCAAAATTCGGTTTGAATCAATTTTTTTACTGTCGGTGGTCGTGTTGGATGCGTATGTGATACTTCTAGTCGCGCTTGTTGCGTTCCTCTAGAATCACATTTTATCAGTTATCATTGCCCTCGCGTACTTAATGTTTAATTTTGTGCCTTTGCGTGTTTGTGTGATGCACACGATTGGTTACAACCAGGGAAGGCCAAAGGTAAAGGTCATACGCTTTTGGACATACGACGTGGGTTTGTTGTGCGTGGTCTTCAACACGTTGTGTCCAAAAGCGTATGACCTTTGCCCTTGATCTTCCCGAGCGGTAACCAATCTTGTGCATCACACCCAGACACACACACACACACGTACACAAACATACACACGCAAACGATGAAACCTAACTAAATTTTTTAAGGTATACAAAAAATGCTTACTATTATCACTATAGAAAAGGCAAACGGATACCTGTGTAACCCTCTTTATTTTCTAACTGTACAGGCACAGCATCTGTGCACAGTTTGGTTATTCACATAGATCAACATCTACCAATCCGGCTGGTTGTGTTTTCACCCATTCGTAGGTTTTGTCACTGTCCCCATGACCGAAATCTCCGGACGAAACGATGTCCAAGTTTGGCTTACTCTTCAACCTCCGGTCGATTCAAACACTCGTGATATGGCCCTATTCCACTTGGCCTCTGCCGGGATTGTACCGACCGCACACAACCCGATGGATGATACCGCTCGCCTCGACGCGGCCAGCATCCTACAAACATCCAACTCATTTGCATCCCTGAATGGAAAACATTCGATTGGCAATCTAACCGGTTCCGATCAACGCAGTATGCCCCAGATACGGATTCGAGCTCGCTATCGATCGGTGGATGTGCTACCGCATCGGGATTATTGGGCTTTGAAAGCGGTACGTTTCAGTATCAGTTTGGCCGATCCTTAACCCTACGATAGTCCTAATGATTGTCTTTCCGTTACCCACTTGGTCGAACAGTTACGAAAGAGTAAATCGAAAAGTTTATAGCTCGGAGCACTACCAAGATACAGCTACAGATTTGCGTGGGTACACAAGTAGCGCAACACACTGGGTCAATAACACCCTGATTAGTTTGCCAGTGAACTCCCCAACCAAAAAGTCGGATACGAACTATTTGACGGAAAGCCCTAGTCATAGTTTTCATAACCCCATGCTAGGTCATCGTTTGATCATCCTTGGGTTTGTCCCAATCGCTGCTTGTCTCGGCAAACATCGCATTCCTTATTCTGATGCGTGATCCATACCCAAGCCACCGTAGTCAGTGAAAGTAATGTAGTAGTACTCTTTGTACGATTTACCAAAACTTTCTTTCTTTCGCGTATGGCATTACTTGTCTGGTGGTGCCACCAAACTGGTAATGCGGTGCAGACAGCGGGCGTGTGAACACCGATAGTTTGGTTTTGTCCTCCTGTCGTGACGGTTTTCTCCTACTCTCTTTTGTATAGGCACTTAGACAGCACGGATCGGGTAGCTGCAACAACTACTCACGATTAACCGAATGTCGCGGCGGCGTCAAAGTTGTCCCTAGTAGACAACTAAGGCGTACGCGCGTTTATCATGTGAAGAACGCTAATGGAAACACGAATCAAGTGATTTACTGCATGGCACTTCTGGTAAACCCAGGAACACTTTGTGTGACCTCTTTGGGAGTATAACGTTCAGTTTTCAGTTTATCTATATACAGATATAAACTGAGAATGGGAGGTTATACCCCAAAGAAGCTGTGCACAATGCACCAGGTTTCATCGAGGGTTACTTAGATTGAGTTGAGCAATTTGAACAATCTCAATTCTTTCCCGTTATTTTTCTGAGGTACGAAAGGTTAACAAGTTTTAGTGTGACATAACTATCTATTTGTCCAACCGGAGAACACTGTATGTTTCCCATAGCAACGTGTCTAGTGTTCACTCTTTTCTCATTGCATTCATTGTTGAAGAGCCGATCGATTTTGCCGAGGCCCTTTTTTCAATGTGCCCTACAGTCTTATTCATATGTTTGTTAAGGTTCACTACTTCTTGTCTGTGATGCCCTTTGTCCCGGTAACCGACAAGTGTTTCCGGGATTCATCGATCGATCCCCTGGCGCACGAGCTGTTGGAAGCAAAAGTTAGACCGGTACAAATAGAATTTGCATCTAACTTGGCTTGTTCTTGTATGAAACTCCTATGGAATTTTCTGCAAACCTCTGAGAAATATCCATGGTATTTGATGCTGGGAAAAGATAATCCAAGGAAGAGGGTACATCATCATGAGCTGGAGGTTGTGAAACCTACTATGACTTATGACTAGGTGTTGAGATACAGGAAACTAATCCAATGTATAAGTGAAATACTGTAGCAATATGGCAAAATATAACTTGTGAAAATGTTCCGTATTTGTCCCTACACCTTTATTAGGGGTTTTTATTTCAAGGTATACTTTGTACATTATTTGGGTGTCATTCCCCATGTTGTTTTATTTCATTCTCCTGTTGGATAGGGACCAAATCCACTTCACTCAAGTGCTTCGAAAGAATAAAACTATATTGTGATCCTGCACCAGTTATGTTCTGAGCCATTTCGCTACATCTGAACATGATGCATACGAGAGAAATCGCGACGCTTCTAAAGAGCTATATGGTGGCGATGAAGTAAATTAAAATTTAACAAAACAGACAAACAGAAAATGGAGAGGGGTAAAAAGGGATATATATATATATAATCACCGGTTTGCGAGCAAGCTTGGTTCCAACACGGCAACATGAATAGCAGTACACATGGGGGATTGGGATACATAGTAGAGTAAAAGAAGGTCAGACAGTTAATTGTAATGACAAGAATAACATTTTGTCTGTTTATTTCACCGTACAATTGGATTTTTTTCTGTGTGTTGGGAGGACCATGACACCAGCGTAAGGTCCAACTAATGCAAATTCGTTTTTATTGATACGGGGTAGAGGTTCCAGCAGTTGATGGTAATCGTTCGGCAAACCTTTTTCAATCTTGTGATTCGCGACTTGTAAGCAATCCGAAACCGTGCTTCTCTTGATCTAGTGTTGCCGTCATCCGAGGATGTCCAACTATGGCAGATGACCGGGACTTGTAATTTCGACCATCGTTTTCATACGGCAAAAGTATCCTCGATTGTACCATCCGACTTGAAACCCATTTGGAAATATGTTCAACCGCCCTGTTTTATGGTTGTCGCTATGTACTGCCGAAGTAGGTCGCTCCGTACTCACATTGGAATTAGTAGATCAGATTAGAATTGGCGTACAGAGGCAGACGTTCTTTTGCCATGGGTGTGGGTATTCTGATGGCCCCTTTGGGGGTCAGCTGCATAGGAGGTTCGGGCGATTGCTGATTTCAGTTGTTGTTTTTTTAATTAAAGACACAACGTGGCCCGTAATTTTGCAGTTGACGCAACCGTTTCTTTCGCGATTATCAGTTTACTGTGCTCGTTAACTAACACTTTCGAATAAGCATTTTTTACAGCATCTCCCGAAAATTTTTTTAGTTCGTGTTGAACTGTTTTCTGT